TTGATGGCATTGATATTCGAGTGGACGAACTTCACCTATTATATCGAGCAAGCAGATAGCTCGAAAAGTTGACGGATCGCTAGCTGGCTTATTTGATTTTGACGGGAAATCGAGTGCTTGACATTTCCATCGATCGACTTATAGACATACAAATATTTTGACTTGCCATAGAAAGAATGGCTATCATTATTGCATAATTAGAGATGCCATCTAAGATGGACGTCTGTTGGCGTAAACTTACTTTGTTTGCGATCGTATTTGCTCCTTTAATCGCTCCTGCTGCTTTTATATTCCTCGCATCCACACAATTCCTCGGTATGTAATCAAATAATATTGTTTGCGGAACGAAAGTGTTAACCATATATATACAAGCAAACTTGGCCAGATCGACTGACATATGGATTTCAGTGCTTTCATAGCTACTTCGTAGGCTAATCTCTAATGGACGCCGTTTACCGTTGCTTATATGCCTGGATCTATGACACAAACTTCTTGGTCTGTTACGTTATGTCTGCAATGAAACAGTTTATTGGCGTCAATACGTTAATGGACTTTGAGCCATCGCATGTTTGCTCAACATGTCGTATGGTGTGGCATACCACACTGTTAGCAGGACCCGATATTGTTCGAAATGCTCGAAACGACACTTGAACAGCGCCGGATTCCCAGCTGGGTCCGTCTAGCAGTTTTATGTATACGTTGATCCGTTCATTAGACAATAGTTGGAAAATTATAGCATGGATCAGTTTTTTTTTTTTTTTTTTGCTAAGCGCGCTGGAGGTAGAAACTTTCAAGATATACTGCCGACCCGTCCCTGCCGCATACCTGACTCGCCATCCCTAGCGCCATCATACTAAAACTGCGTGCCACACGCGCTTCGTCGACCACTCTCTACAGCAGGGCCACCGTTACGCATTACATTGTGCGTGTGGGTCTGTGTGAGTGTATATTTGTATGTTTGTATCTACGTACGTACCCGTATATGTATGTACGTATGTATGTTTGTTTGCTCGCTTGGATGTATTTATGTTTATATGTACGTATGTGTGTATGTAGGTGTTTGTGTACATTACATATATATATATATATATATATACTTGTAATATTTGCAAATGTAAAACAATCATATTCAATTACGTTAAATAAACTAACCATTTGTCGCGCAATATCATAAACTTAACAATCAAATATTCTTGTGTTCTTTAAAATCTTTGAAAGCGAGGTGCAGAAAAATGGAAAAGAACAAACAAAAGCCACTACACCGCTTCTCGGTCCAGCTACTTTCTTCTCCTATTACACAGTAATGAAATTAAAAACAAAAAAAAAACGAAAAAACCAAAACAAAAACAAATAAAAAGGATAATATACGCATTAAAAATTAAAATAGAAAAAAGCAAATTAACAAACACGATGAATGGATAAAGAGCAAAAATAGAATATTTGAAGAAATTTCATGTAACTCAAGCACTAGCACTCAAACTTCCATTCCTCTCATACCCTTCTCCCTACCCACTCCCTTCCTCTACCCATTCCCCTTGCCGGGCCCATCCACGATCCGATTCCTTCCTCATCATCCCAGCACAAACACAAATACGCACACACAAAACACGCACGCGCACACACAGATACATACATGTTAATGCTAATCATCTACTGTGAATGTATGTTATGTTGAATGTAAACGAATCGAAACATTTAATTAAAAGTTAAGTATAAAACAATTAAGTAAAAATAAAAACAAAACAAAAAAAAAAAAAAATATATATATATATATATATATATAAAAAAAGAAAGATTATAAGAAAACGGAAAAGAAAATTGGAATTTAACATTAACTGCAAGACAGGTGTTGGACACAAAAAATAATGAAATAAAAAAAATAATCTGAATTTTCAAATTGTGTCTACTTATGTAGTTAAAAAATTTAAATTTATATATAAAAAGAAAATAAAAAATAAATAAATAATTAATTTAATAAACTACACATGCATACAAGCATACACACGTATACACAACCACACACAGAGACACCAACAGAGACATACAGAAAGACACCAACACTAAGTCACTTAATAACAAAAATTAATAAATTCACTCACATATGAAATAAGAACAAACAAAACACTAACAATTACAACAAAAAAAAGAAGAAGAACAGGAAAAATACAAAAATAACGAAAAGAAAAAAAATAAAAAAATTTAAAAAAAAACAAAAAAAGGAAAGGAAAATGAATGAATTCTCAATAGCAACAATTTATGAAAATTAATAATAATAAAATAAATTTAAAGAAAATAAAAATGCAAGGAAAAGTAACGCATTTTGATGAATATGATCAAATAAAACTAATTGATTAAAATGATGAAAATTACTTCTCTGACTTTTATTTCTATCCATCGATTATAGTTAATAGTTATACTCAAAATTGCTTAACGTTTTCGTTTAATTTCTTCCTTCTTCTGTCCAATCATTTAGCGGATATTACTTTTACATAAAACACCGTAATCTTCGCAAAGAAGTGTGGAGAGCGAAACAGAGAGTATACTGCAGCGTGGGAATTATGAACACTCGCTATAGCTCTCACCACTGTACGTCAATCGTAACTAAGTTACGATCTAAGGCAGCTAGGATCGCTTCTCGGTAGCCCGCAAATTTGATCTTATAGTTTGTTTGTTATAACAGGCGCCTAAATTATGTCTCTTGCCTCAAACGTTGTGTTATGTTGCCCAACACAATCACAACAAATCAAAAGTTTGCACCCTTTTGAAACTAAAACCGGGAAGAAAGTTTACTTTAAGGCACATTTTGAATGTCGACAAGGAACATCAAATTAAACTCGCTTTTTGCTCGGCGATATTATTTTGTGTTAAAAACACATCGACGCTTTGTCACAAAATTACTTGAGCAACGTGACGCGTTAACCGAAAGAAGTATAAGGTAATGAGCTTTTTCCGTATGAATTGCGCATCAAAAGTTAAAGTTATTGAGCTCTAGGATTTGTTTCGCATATGACATAAAATAACTTCTTATTTACAAGATTCACAAGAGCGGCAAGAATGCATGTGGGCTTAAGTAAATCGCTCTCAATGACATTGTATCTCTTCGTTGAAAAAACATGATTATCAAGTAACGCCGCTAAAGTTTATTCGCTGAATTGCCTCCGCGGAGCAACAGTGGAATAGAATACGTTTTACTCTAAAATAAAAAATACTTTAAGAATGACTTCTAGTTTTCACTACTTGTGCCTAAGAGCAGAAACTACTGGAACATTCCTGCCAATCGTACGTCCCCGATGTCCATTTCTATCGTTTACCATCGTTTTAACGAACTTAACACAACTTCTCTGTAATGAGTACGATAAGAAAAAGAAAGAGAGGGCTACGATTTTGTCCCAAAATAGTCGACTAAAAAAAATTTCCCATTTTTGCCCCCGAAAATTCGCAATGAGTACTCGTTATCCAAATATCAAAGTTTGTAGTTAATTGCAATCGCGTCACTATTGCGGCTCGCAGAAGAACGCTTACACATTCCACTCAATACATGCGCTAAATTTGCAATGAGTAGCTAAGCGAAGTGGTAAGTTAAACATAAATTGATTTCAACATTTTCTTTTCCCCTTTTAAAATTGCTTAGCTACACCACTGGGTGCATGTCTACTGACAGTTCAAAATAGGAGAGGTACGAGCAATAACTCTATTAGGAAAAGCTTCGTTCTTTTTCGCCTGCTGCAATTATTAAATGCGCCTATCACTTATTGTCCGGATTGCTTCTCACTTCCAATTTATGGCACTGACAGCAGCATTCTACTAAACGTTACCGATTATAACTATTTCGGGCAGCCATCTGTAGTTCGGCCGCTTTATGATTTACTTTCAATAAGATGATTCAATAGACCCTGAGCGCTTCCGATTTGCCTTTGAAAGGTAAAGACTGTAATTACCAATGCGTTATTGTTGATCATGGATTTAACGCCGATATGGCTGGGCTTACGAATGTATTATCACTTGGTTTATACAAAACTTAATTCTAATTCTTTAATTAGAAATAAACGACGAAATCGTGAATCACTTAAATGAAAATCAAGTTTAATTTTCATATTCAGCGAAAAAACTAAAAAAAACTAAAAACCTAACGGACTTTCAACCTTGTAGCGTTTAGTTCGTTTAGTTTGGTCATGCGTAAAATTCTCAGCGTCTTTTGGGTAGGGTTCTGCTATCAATGAAAAAAGTAGCAGTTCTGTTAATTAACAGCCATTCGAAAAATGTTATGCGGCAAAGGCAAACAAACGTCCATGTTTTTAAGTGAATATGCACTATGGTAAACACATATATGCGAGTGTATGCATATGTACGAAAAAACGCAAAAAGTCAATAGAATAAACAACATTATCAAAATGACGCTTTTTTAGATTGTTACAGATGTTTCCCATCCTAGGTAAGAATTCATCAAAATATCTGAATAGGATTGAACAAATGCCGACAAAAAAATGCAGCACCTTCTACTCTTATGGCACAGAAGAATTAGTGGGCATTTTCCATTTCCTTTAGTGACATCAACGTAAAAGAATAAACAATCCTTCATGCTCTGGGCATGGGGATTTAAAATGAAACGAATCAAATAAAATATGTATTCGAAATGCCGGAGTAGTAGTAATCTTGGCCGTTTAAAGCATTCAAAGCAAAAAATACCTAACTACAACCGATATTCGATGCTGTTCTTTTCGACTCAAATACCTTGACTTTCAGTTCCTCTACTTCGCCTCTCGCCCGCAACAGCGCATGCAATAAGCCCCAAAAAAAATATCTAATCTGTCGATATCGACGATCGGCTTACCGAAAGTTATTTATAATCAGCGCTTTTTTATTAATAATTCGGACGAGTTTTAGCATTTTCCCACCAAAACTTCTGCGCAGAAAAGCGAAGAAATTGTATTGTTTTCACTTTTTATATTTTATTCACATTTCCAATCACTCAGTCTCTTTTCTTTTTATTTTTTCATCAAATACATACATATGCATAGAATACAAATCTCTTAGTGCTTTGCAAAATGATCAACGATGCATTTTATCCTAGCGTAAGTTTATCGAATGAATAATTTTGCATTACAACGGCGTTGGTTGTTCTGCGCCACAATTTATATACATTTTTTTATATATGCTTTTTTCCCTTTTTTTTTTTTTTTAATTAATTTATAGCCTAAAATACATAACTAAAAGTAAATAATACATTAAGTTACAACAGTAGCATTGGAAAGAAATTTGCATAGATAAAATGGAGATGTTACGTAGATAACATCGCTAGAAGGGGAAGGAGTGAAAACCGAAAGAAATCTTATTTGTTAAAAAACTTTGTAATGATCCCCCCATCGATTACAATTTGCTAATATTTGTTTAACCGGTGGATAATGATTAAGTATGTATAGGCATACTTAATCCTCCCGCCACTCGATTGTTTAGAATATATATATGCACTAAATGTTAAAGCAGAAATGGAAAAAGATTTAATTCGGGAGTATTTCGTTAAGTAATTCCTTAACTGGCGGTTGTAGCGTTTCGGGAAATTTGATGTCAAATGAGACAAGCAGGTCACCACGTCGGGAAGGCTCTTTGGGGAAAGGCAATCCTCGATTACTTATACGCTTGACTGTGTTGGGTTTTATTACTTCACCCTGTGTATTCACTGGAATTCTGTCGCCCTGCAATGTCGGCACATGAACACTTGTTCCGCACAATGCCTGCTTAAGATTGATCTTTGCATTGTATCTAATGTCAGTGCCTTCACGCTTAAACAATGAGTGCGGCTTATCCCTAATGATGAATATTATATCAGCGGGTATTTTTCCGGGAGTTTGGTCACCTTCTCTTTGGAAAGTAATTTTAGTACCTGATTTCCAACCCGGTTTTACTGTTATATTCAAAACCTTCTCCTCCTTACGGGATTGACCTGTTGCCATTGACATTCGTGAGATCTTCATTTTTTTTACGCAGCCTTTATCAACCTCTTCGAGAGAGACATAGAGGTCGTGTTCAATAGGAGGATCTTGTTGCTGTCGTTTGCGATTTGGTGGAGCATTAAACGAATGTGAACGAAACGCGCCGCCAGGACCACCACTCATGCCGGTATAGAGGTCATCATCACTCATGAAAATAGTCTGCTGTCCGAACATAGGGTCATCCATACCAAAGAATGCGCCAAAAGGATTGGAATTTCCGAAAAACTGCGCAAAGGTGGCACGCGCGTCACCGTGATATGTATAATTGCTACCTGGTTCGCCTGTTGATCCCGAAATTCCGGCTTTAAGACCCTCTTCGCCATATTGGTCATAAATATCGCGTTTCTTTTTATCTGACAACACCTCATAAGCCTCAGCAATCAGCTTAAAACGTTCCTCAGCTTGTGGGCTTTGATTCTTATCCGGATGATATTTTAACGCCAATTTGCGATACGCCTTCTTGATCTCATCATCGTTGGCAGTTTGTTTTATGCCAAGAGTCTCATAAAAATTTTTACTCATCTTATTATTTTACTAACCACTAAACCACTGTAAAAACAAAATTAAAAAAAATTTGCGTTAATACGTAAGAGAAAGTTTGTTCTTTTCTTTTGTTCAGTTTAGGATAAGTTTTTTCATATTCTTAATGCTAAGCAAAAACAGAAAGCTATGGGTGGAGGAATGTGAAACCTGCCCAATATGACTTAAGATGCTCATAAAGACGTGAAGATGTCTATGATTTTTATAAAAAATATAGATAATATCTCTTTAATAAACTTGGACACTTGGACAAACACAAATCACTTTATGTAAAAACGGAAAATCCACCATAGTTTAATTGATTCCTAAGTCCATAAAAGACCTACAAGGATTATACCCAGAATAAAACGATAAACCTATGGCATTTACCAGTAGTCATAAGGTATTGCAAATGGATAAAGAAATGCATTTCTCAAAAAGTACATAGTCAACGTTTACCTATTTTTTTTCATATCAAAACTTCCCAGAATATTCGAGATGTAAAAAGCAATTATGCCCAGTGAGCTGCTTGATTTGTTCAAATCCAAGATTTGTCTCGTTTCCTCACATTTGCAATATATGCGGCGATTCTCTCGTTACTAAATAAAACAAACATACATACATTCATACTTCAAATAACGAAAGCAAAAAACTACTTTTTGATAATCGTGTGTATGTATGTATTCATATATAAGTGCATTTAAGCAAAAATCACGTAATGCCCACAACACTTTTATTTGATAATTTGATTAATTTCCTTTCGCGAAATTCGCCCTTTGCAAAGAGAGCACACAGAACTCATTCATTTTTCATGAAATTTCCTATACTATCCAGCCAATTTTGTTTTGCTCATTAGGCAAAATAAAAAAATATCAAAGGTTTACCGCAACACTTACCTTTCACGACTCAAGCAAAAACAAAAAAAAAAAAAAAAGAAGGAAAATCGAATGTTTGCCAAATATTTAATATTTTTTCTGCGACCCCTTACAATCTTTTAGATATTTGTATTGTTTCTCTTCTCGTTCAGACTTGCTTTGCGATAAAAATCAATTAATATAATTATTAATTAATTGCTCTTTTGCTCACTTAGTTCTTTTAAATCAAATTTTCTTATATGTAAAGAAAGAATTACAAACAAAACGCAAATTGCTCTTTTGTCTTCTTCGAGAAAAATCCGCCGACGGTTATATCTGGCTTATTTGTTTGTTAATAATAAGGAGTTTTTTCTTTTCCACTCGTATTTATAAGCACTACGTTTCGTATTCTAGAAATTTCGAGACAGAAATGACATTTTTCATATACCTAGTTGCCATTTGGTTTTATATCAATCATACTACATATATACAAGAGTAAATAAATACGAAACGTTTTTCTGCCATTATTTATATTTCATAAATATAATTTCGTAAACAAAAGAAAGCATGAAAAGTCATCGAAAAAAGGAGAATAACTTGACAGCTGAAATGTCAAATGCCTGGCAAAGGCGAATTAACTACACGAATGAAAAAAAAAGAAGATGTTTGTTAGATTGTGAATATATGCAAAAAAAAAAATAAGTAAATAAAAAAATTAAACAAAAAGAAAAAAGTGTGCTTAGCATATTCAATATTTTCTGGTTTTTGGAATCAATAAAATAGAAAATTGAATCAAGTTGTACTTTGCAATTGTCAGCCAATAGAACGTAAGGACTGACATTGAAAATTTATTGCAAAAAAAGAAATACCGGATCAAAGATATGGGTAAGGCGACGTGAGACTTTTGAGAACTAAGAAAATCGCATTAACATCAATTTGTTAAACTTGCTAAGTGAAATCTTTTAATTCTAATATTTTACCAATAAAAGTGTACACATTTTTACAAAACAAACACTACCAAATATAATTAAGAATCTCATATCGATGATATAACTCATTTGCCAAAACTACAGGATTGCGCTAGTTTTGCATAATTTGGAAATTGATTTGACAAAAATATGTACGAATGTGTGTTAAGTGCGTGTGAATAAATATATATTTGTATATATATATATATATATAAGTGTTTGGACATTTTTTCATTTATGCCTTATAAAATCTAGATATATATATACAAGTGCACATGGCCGTTCACCTTCTCTGGTAAAAATTTACTTTCTTTTCCAGTAAAATTATCTTACTTGAAAAGGTGAAAAAAAAATGTTAGAATTTATCCCATATCTAACATTAAACATTTATAACTTACATGAGTTTAATATTAATTTTTATATGAGAATAATTTTGAAACTCCCTATTCCCTGCCCTACTCTCTGCCTATTTTATTATTATTAACTATATTTTTATTTTATTATCGGTATTAATTGCATATTGTGTTTGAAGCGAAAAAGAAAAGTCTAAGAACTAAGAAATTATCTTTAGAAAAATATTCTCTTGGGGGATCCGTATAGAATATTATTTGCAGTTTGTGTATGCTAAGTAGACTTTTTCTTTGATGGAACAGTGAATTATTTGCTAACCTAAATAAATTCTTTAGCTTATTAAAAACTGCATAATTTCTATAAGATAGGTCAAACATAGTCCCATAATCAAATAATTATTACTTCATAACTGTTTCTCTGTGCGCAATTTCAAAGAATAGTTCTTACGTTTACGCTTGCGAGCGAGGAGGGATGGGGGAGGACAAATAGAGGTAACATGCAAAAATGGCCATAAATAAATCGTATTGGCCATACATTGCCGATCAGCGTTAAAAGCGAAACTTTTGATTTCTTTCTATTGAAACTATGAATAAATGATCACGAAATCAACATTTTCTTAAAACTTACTTAACGTGGATTATTAGCCCATTTGCAAGGTAGAATTACATTTACCACCATATCAGTGGGCAACGGATGCTGACATTTTTGATCGCAAAAAGTAATGAGAAAGTGTGTTATATTGGATCGCCAAGGATGAAATTTGAAGATAATGGATTAAATGCCTACTATAAAACATTGCACACAATCTCTTATTTCTAAATTTCATTCTTGACTACCCAATAAATTGAAAATAATTTAAGCCGAACATAACATTAAATGAACATAATTTTTGTCTATTAAAGACTTGCTTACAAGAAAACGTTACATATTGTCAAAACGATTTCTTTTATCCCTTTGTTAAATAAGTGCAAAAGTAGAGTCTATTTAAAGTCTCTTATTTGACACATTTTCACACGTCATATACACTTAGCGTTTACCTTATTTCCTGACTAATCTAAAATGAATGCGCACTGTTTCTAGGATCCGCATGCTTTAAGAGGACGTGCGACACCTCACAACAGATATGTTTTAATTTATTATTATTATTATTATAAACTTAGCCAGAGAATAAATTCTAAGACTAAAGTAGTCTTAAAGCACTAGCATCTAAGGCTTTCGGCTTTATTAAAAACTCTACCGCACTTGAGATTTGAACCCACGACCATTAAGTTGCTAGTCGAGACTCTTGCCTACTCGGCCACTCAGGCGGATATGTTTTAATTTAATTTATTTGAATGGTTAATCATTAATAATATAGATGAAGAGAATTGAAACACATCTTCACACACTGTGCATTAATCATATATGTATAATTTTCTAGTATTTGCGAACGAGCTCGATTACGCTAACTTTTTGAGCCTTGCACAAGAGAATTCAGAGCCTATTCCATTTGTCGATTCACGGGATAATTTATTTGGTCTTCAGATTTAGCCTCATCAAGGTGAGAAATCATTTTAGAATATGTTTGCTCTTCGTGATAAAGCGTCCTGCAAAGACAAACAAACAAAGATATATGATAAAGCGTATACATATCCTCTTGAGTCGAGGTAGGAATTTACCGTTTTAGTAAAGGGATAAAGCCACCCCAAAATGGGGGAGGCTCATGTTCATTTTATAGCTATTTTTTTTCTCGGCCTTTGTTACGGTCGAAGCCAAAATGCGCTTGATTACATATACGGAAATCTTGACTATGTCTGGAAAAATAAGCTCTAAGTGGCGGTGAATAACTGTCTCCGAGGCATTCTTATGGTAAACGCAAGCGTGGTACAGGATATCATTACATTTGCCTAAACTTTTCAAATACAATTTATCAATTTAATGAATAATTAGAAATTTAATCTTCATTCATAACACATTACTTGATACACATACTCCGCAATACTGCTTGTGTGATAAACTTCCGTCCATTAAATTTAAATGAATAATGAAACTTATATTATGCGACCACAGATACCATGCATATTCCAGGTGCTTTTTTTATTAACACTTTTTTTGACGACGAGTATTAAGCCCGTTGTTAATATGCGCAGATTCACTATCAAATTTAAAACCATCTACACTTGTAATAATGCATTGTTGTTATAAATGGGTTTGTAATTCCAGTGTCAGGATATTGCTGCTGATATATAGTATGAACTGGACCAGTGTGCAATGGAGGTGGGATTTCAATCTCAAATTGTTCGATGATTACCTACTTTACAATGTTATATGCAGTGTACTTAAGATTTTCTGTAAAGCTAGGATTGTGTGGGCGTCTATAATTGCTTACATGCTCCCCTGTAAGAGACATTGCAATCTTATTATTTTTATACATTATTATTATACATATTTGCTATTATTAATTATCAATTTAATTTTTAAGCCAGACTTACTTTAATCTTAGTTAACAAACAAACAATATTAATAATAATATCGTTGGTCTACAAAATTTCTATTAATACTTGTTCGAATCTATTGTGGATGTGAGTGTAGGCGGATCACACTTATCTTCAAACTAAGCCTGTAGCTAACAAATTAACACCGGTGTCTGTCAAGTTTCCAAAATTTTCTCCTTCGATTTCGCAGACAGAGCGAGGAAGGGAAGAGAGTCACCAAGACGACATTACTAAATTGGCTCGGAATTTTACGCTGATTAAAACCATTTAACATTTCTATGCGTATAGCTAAGTACGAGTACCAATTAACAGAGCTTTCAGGCAAAAAAGATAGCACGTTTTGTTCATATTTAAACGTAATCCGCTCTATTGTTAGCCTTGTAAACGCAAGAAAATTAATGATGATCTTATTTTTTTAGGTTTCAAACTTCCAAACTTATTGTAGACATAGACACGTATGACATCCATGTCAATTCATTTGTAATGGGTAAAAGAAACACTAAACGGGGTTAAGAACGCCTAACCAACAATAAACTTACAAATGACGATGTCTTTGAAGTCTGTGCAAACTTAGTGTCTCGCCTTGAGAGCGAAAGATTACATATAATACAGTTAAGAGAGTTCCGCCATCATCATCATCATTTGAAAATATGTAAAAAATTTTGCAAACAATTTTAAAAACGTACAGCGTAGTAAAATTTAAAACAAAAAAAAATTCTTAAAAAAATCTTCGATTAAAAAATTCAAAAAAACTTAATTTTTATTTTTTTTCCAAATTTCACATATATGCCACAATACAAATGGAAAAGGCTTCTTGTAACTATTTGAACCCTGAAGAGTTATGAAACTAATAAAACTTCTTAACCTACCCTTGTTTACTTGACATAAGCTTCCGCTTCATTCCGCTTACAAAGTAATTCTTCACCTAATCAACTATTGCAATCACTTTTACTCATGCATTCTTATCTTTTAGAGTACATGACCTCTACGGCACAAAGTGCCCATGTTTACGGGCAACAAACATTTCAGTGAGGATGGGGAAAAAACGTTTGTCAATCTATTTTGAAACTTGTTTTGGTGATATCCAAAAATATTTTATAACGGCATGGCATACATAAGGAATATCATAAAATATGCGATGATACAGATCCAACTTTTTAACTAATTACTATTAACGTATTAACGTTATATAAAATGAAATAAAAATTTGATTGCTACAGCATTCACGTCCGCGAACGTGTTAATCACAAAAAAAATTAAAGATGAATAGCCTGAGTAAGAGAGCAGGCGAGAATTGCGACTACCAACTTAACGTTCGCGGGTTCAAATCTCGAATGCGGTAGGGCTGTCTTTGGTCATAGCCGCAGCGAATTCCCAGTTGGTAGAGGGATAACATTTATCGTTTGTGAACACACACACGTGAGGCTGTGGCCAACATCTCTCCCCTTTTTTTCTCTCAGCTCTCTTCTCTCTGACTGTCATCGTGTTACACGAATAGACGACATTTCCCAAATAATTGGCCACATAAAAAAAAAAAAAAAAAAAAATATGTGAACTCATAGACGGCCACTTTCCACGCTCACTCATTGTTCAAAACTCGAATATTAAAAGTGATTACTATTAATGCAGCATTTCGATATCAATCAAATTTGGACTTGATCATTTTTTTAATAATAAATTTATGTTCATAACGTTTATTACTATCGGAATATCACTTAATATGAAGAGAAAGGAGGCTGCTAATGTAATCCGCAGTTGTTATTGATAAGCATTATATATTTATAAATAAATAAAGTAATAGAAAATTTTGCATAAAACATAAAACAGCGCCAAATAAGAAAAGTCCAACCAAAATACGCACAAATAACGGCTCTTTTGTATTTTCTTTTTCTCTTTCGAATTTGAAATAAAAGAGAATCGATCGACCGTCAAACGTTTCTTTTGAGGAGAATTCGTGAAAATTGTTGAGGAAATTTTGTGAAAATTCTCGAGAAACGCTTAAGTGTCACCTTTAAACGCTATCGGATCGGTTAGTAAGCGCGTGAATAAATTTTACATTTGTAACTGTAGCGTATAGCAAGATATTGCCGACCGAATTGAAGCGCCCATCAAAAAAAATAAAGAAAAAAAAAAAAACAAAAAACTCGGTCCAAAAATATTAAGCATTTGAAAATTTCTTTAAATATATTTTTTTATTAGAAAAAGAAAATAAGCGCCATATAATCGGGTTGTTTTTTGTTTTTGTTGTTTTTTTTTTTTTTTTTTTTGTAGTTTTTTGTAGTTTTTTGTTTTGTTTTATTTACTAGTATTATTATATTGTTGATATTGTTCGGAAGCGAGTCACCAAGCAGCTAAAAAGAAAAAGGTAAAATACCCTCAATCCGGACATGTTCACTTGTTCAGTTGTATTAATGTGCATGGTTTTTCGAATGCCTACTTGCGTCCCACTTTCGTAATCACATTCTAAATAATATGCTTTCCCTTTACATCTACTCGGACGTATATGTATGCGTTTGTGTGTGCATATATATGAAAGGAATTATTATTATTTTGAATTTTATTTTGATCCTTTTCAAATGTGCACAACTAAACTATATATAGTGAATAATTTGAAGATTGATTGAGAATAAATTTTAAATAAAATTGACTTCTGTCTCGATTCTCGCCTTTTGTTTGTGCTTTTATTTTTAGCCAAGGAATTGAATTCTCTTTTACTTATTTATTTTTTAATTTAGTTTTATAAAAATAGCAACATGGGCAGTGTGCTGCTGCATATATATATATATGGGTGTGTGTGTGTGTGTGTGTGCGGACATAGTGTGTGGATATAGACTTTCTAAGTTGAAAATATATATATATATATTTATACATATATATTTATATATATAAGTGAAAATACAAATAACCATAACCACAAGTAAAAATATAAATAACTCCAGCAGAAACGAAAGAAAGAAAACCTAATGCTGCATTATACATCTGACTCGCTAGAATCGAACAATTGAGTAATCGTTTTAATTGAATTTGAGAATTTCATTTCGAAAAATATTTTCAGAAAATTCTTTAAAAATCGCTTAATTGCATATTTGTCCAATTTTCATTACTCTTTTTCTTTTCCCCAATTTCGGAAAGTAATCTTCGGTTGCTTTCTAATTTCTCTTTGACTACATATTTATGGATATTTGCTTGCATATCGTCGGCACACATGATCAGAATACTTAATAATATGCTGTAAACAAAATGTGTGCAAATATGTATGTATGCATACGCATATATATATATATAGAAACGTATCCATCTGCATTCGATAATATACGCATAATAAGGATCATAATCCTTTAACTAACTACGGCAGCTAAGTATAATTGATAGATGGGGAGACCTCTTGATGCAAGCTTTCTCATCCAAAAAGGTTCATATTAATGCAATCGTCATATTGCTCTTGTTTTCCATTCATATGAAACATGCATGCCCTCGGCCAGCCGCTCGCTGAGTATATCATCGTTGTCGTTGTCGTTGTCGTTGTCGTCGTCGTCGTCGTCTGTGTCATTTTGGCCTAAAGCCAACTATTTTCATTTAGCAAAGTAACACAGCACTCTTGCTTCCTGTGTTCAAAATTATTTAAAGAATAGTCAAATAAAACAAAAAGCAGCAACTGTTACCGGTAAACTATGAACGCACGTACATATACCACATACAGAGTAAATGGGCGAACGTTAATGTAGCGCCTGAATGCTCTCATGCATGCGCAATAAACAAATGTAAAGCAATTTTATAAGCACTCCGAAGTAATGATGGCTAAGGCGGTATGATGAAAATCCTTACTATCCTTAAAATGCAAGGTAAGTCCTTGCACTTAGATCTGACGTTCATTCGAAAAAATAACAAAAAATAGAATAAATCTATGAACAACGATCAAGCAATAATAATAATAATAATAATAATAAGTAAGAAAATCATATTCGGCTGTGGTCGAATTCCTTATGCCCACCAACATTATTTTAAGATGGAACATGCAAATAATTGTTTATTGTTGCAGTTCATGAGCGATGAGCAAAATACGAATTTTTGGCTTAAGAAAGCAGAGGTTGTCTCACTTTACTTTCGACTGTGACCGTCTCCATCCACCAAGCAGACGGACATACCTAAATTGATTTATCTTTTTAATCCCGGCATCCTTCTTTCGGGATATTTGCGACTATTTCCATAAAATAAATATATGCTCATCCTTCGGTGCCCTAGATATGAAAGGAGCCGCCCAGAATGCCTGACAAGCATCACGCGTACCATACATGAGAAGCGCAAGAAACCACAATTCCCAAATTTCAAGATTGATTTTCTTATCTTACTTGTAATTCGTAGGATGATCGAAAGCAGCAAGGATTATATTTATGATTTATTTGAATGTGAATATAGGTTTCCTATTGGGAAAAATCAATGTTCTATTCGTCATTCAAGCTCAGAGGATCCCAATATAGGTTACCGTAAATCTAACTGTATTTCCTTTGGCTTCGCTGTTGTTTGATTGATGGAACATTAGACTACAACTTGTCGTGTTTAAACTTGGATAAGGTATGACACTAGAGGAAAGTTCCGTTTGGCCACGAATCGAATTTTTTCAAATACCTCGACAAACCGTTTTTGCTAAAACGAACATATTCAACCGATATCACATTTCATTGCCTATGTGCCCACATACATACATTATATATATATATATATATATATATATCTGGGATATTTAATTTCAATAGCGTAAAACGTAATTTAGATGCGGATGAATTTTGAATTTTTTGCTTAAAATTTGAGATAGGAGCGAACGTTATATAACATATTGTTTTCATGATCGTTGGAACGCTTGTTAACAAAAATTGTTACGCGATTACATAAGAAGTGCACAAGCAATGACTGATTGTTGAAGCAACAAAGTCTTGCTCCTCTACAGATGGCAAATAAGCTTAATCTGATTTCTGCATATCTTGTTTGCTACACGTCCTGCGTGCTTACTTTCAGAACTATATAATAAATGCGTTCGCAATTATATAAAATTCTTTGCCGTAATTTGCACTAACTTAGCGTCCGTCCGTCCCTTATTCAACATTAGTAGTTGTAGTGCCGTCCCCGTAGACATATCGTTTTTGAAAGTATATCTTAAATAAATACATTTTTATAAATTTACATATACATATACATATACAATTATATATGGAAAAGTCGAGTAATAATTGTAACACAAATATGCGCAAATATTTTGTTTGCAAATAGCCATAAACTGTCCGCCGAACTCAAAGTTCATTTTTTCTGGTTATATACAGAGCTATATATATATATATATATATGCGCATAAGCGCGTGTATGTGAATTGTGAAAGATGGCCTTCGTTTGATTATTCTTTATCGAAACTAATGGAGGATGTAAGAGAAATGTGCGTCACCCGCCAGAATTGTTCATTGATTTTAGTAGTGGTGTCACATTGCGTTCGCATCGAAGAAATTCCTAAATGAAATTTTTTAAGATTTTCTTCGATTTCTTATTATCGTCTACAGATTATCCGGACGGTAACGCTATGGTTCAACTTGATCACGAGAATTCAATACAATGCGTTGTGCATGACAAGACGCCCGACTCTGAGCAAAGGAAAATTAATATTGTGGTACGACCCCCCTATACAGTGGGAAAAGTAATTGCCGATATAAAGACCCAATATCGTTACGACAAATTTGATTTGATTTTACAACCAAATTCCGGCACTGACTTGGTAGGTTATGTTTTTGTGCTTCGCCTCTACTTACTTTACTCTATTTATTTATCAATTAATGATTAATGCTTGCGCAAAAGGTTTACTTGAATGATCATCAACCGGAACTATTGTATAATGTGCCGGGCTTTGAGCAGAAAGAAAAGAATTACTTTATTTTATTTCCCGCCGGCAAATGGGACGGAAACGTAAAGTTCCGTTATGATATAGCTATGGGTAATTCTGCTCATGCTCTGCCCAATGGAAGCGCAGCACCAAAAAGCCTTATTATGTTTAATGACCACAATATCAGTATAAATAACAACGGTGTCGATATCAGTACCAGTACCAGTAGTAGCAGCAATATTGATAATAACAATGTAAATAATATTGCAAGTAGTGGCGTGACTAATGGCGCTAATGGCTCCATAAATCATTCAGATGAAGATATGCCTGTTCTGAATTCAAGAGGGATGCATATTCCAACGAACGATGCAAATGTTTCGCCACCATCGTCAATGACTACCGTAACGAATGCCACAAATACAGATTCATTAAACCTTAGTCCCATGTCTGAACCGGATCCGTTGTCGGATGATGACTTAGCATTGGGCGCATCAGCCAGTCCCCCAGAGACCGAACCCATGCAATGTGGCGCGCCTCTCTCTCTCGCGCACACATCGTCGCCGAACTTCAATTTGAGTCAATATGGAGTTTATCGCGACTTATCAGATACCCTAATTGAGGCTGAAAAAAAATATCGTTTATCTTCGTTGCCTTCACTTTCCCCTGCCGCTGCTGGAATATCAAGCAACAATGGTTACGTAGGTCTGGTCAATCAGGCAATGACATGTTACCTTAATAGTCTTCTGCAAGCTCTGTTTATGACGCCGGAATTTCGGAACGCGCTCTATCGCTGGGAATTCGACAACGATCACGAGGCCAAAAATATTCCCTATCAATTGCAGAAACTCTTTCTCAATTTGCAGGTGAATATATTGAGCTTCCTAACGTGAATAACTGAACTAAGTTGTTTAATTTTGATAATGTGATTTATTGACCGCCACCGAATTTAATTTCTGTGACGAACATTTCCTTAACACTAATTTTCAGACATCGAAAAAGTCAGCTGTCGAAACTACTGATTTAACTCGGAGCTTCGGTTGGAATTCATCGGAAGCATGGCAGCAACACGACATTCAGGAACTGTGCCGGGTTATGTTCGATGCTCTCGAGCATAAATTTAAAAATACCAAACAGGTTAATCTTATAGCCAATCTTTACGAAGGTAAAATGATTGACTATGTAAAGTGCTTCGACTGCAATACGGAGAAAACACGAGCCGATACCTTCCTTGATATACCTTTGCCAGTACGACCTTTTGGGAGCACAGCTGCTTATGGCAGCATTGAAGAAGCTTTACGAGCCTTTGTACAGCCAGAGACATTAGATGGCAATAATCAATACTTCTGTGAGAAATGTAACAAAAAATGTGATGCTCATAAAGGATTAAAATTTAAAAATTTCCCATATATATTGACTTTACATTTGAAAAGATTCGATTTCGATTATCAAACAATGCATCGCCTCAAACTGAACGACAAGTAAGTATATATATATATATATATATATGGCATGCAATTACAGTATGTTTTGCGTATTGTTTGTTCGTAGAGTTACTTTTCCACAAGTGCTAAATTTAAGCACCTTTATAACGTCTGGGGGGAATGAATCGGCTCAAACGAACGGTAGCATTCCGAATGGATCATCAGCTACAACGGATGATTGTAGCACAACGGACAGCGGCTCTGCTATGGAGGAAGATAATTGGAGCAGTGGCATAACTACGACTAACTCTATTTACAACGTAATCGACATGAACGACGAGGACCAGGACGAGGGCATCGATATGAGTTCAAGCACGGATCATCGCAATCGCATTAACAGTAGTCAGCATGCCAAAAATGGATCTAATCAATACGCATACGAATTATTTGCGATTATGATTCATTCGGGTAGTGCGTCCGGAGGTCACTACTATGCTTACATTAAAGAGTTTGAGAACAGTGAATGGTATTGTTTTAATGATCAGTCAGTCACACCGGTATGTGTCCAAACAGTACTCAATTGCTTAATTTTCATTTTATATTTTACCTATGCTACAACAGATAACACAAGATGATATACAGAAATCGTTCGGCGGTGGCTCCAGCAAAGGTTATTATTCCAGCGTTTATAGTTCAAGTACAAATGCTTACATGTTGATGTACCGGCAAATCGATCCAAAGCGTAATGAAAAGGTTTTAAGGGTTGACGATTTTCCAGCACACATTAAAACGCTCGCTGAGAAACTTGGACACGAAGAAGAATTGCGAATAACACGAAGTGGTGGCGGGAGCGCTTCTAGCAGCAACGCTCGTCATCGTCCCATTTCGGATTTAGCGTTACCGGAGCATATTAAGCCACGTGTTTACTTTTACAATCCCGAACTAAGGAAACTAAAAATGACTAGAGTATATATTACGCAAAAGTTCGATCTTAATAGTGTCTTAGAGTCCGCATATCAAATGCTGAGTGTAGAGCAATTTGCGCCATTAACACACTGCCGCCTTGTCGCTTATGATCCCGCAGCTGAGCGCATAATACGATCGTTTGAAAACACCACTAACACTTTGTTTAATGAAATTCGAAATGCTGGTGATGACCCTATAGAATTTTTGTTGGAATATAGAGCTGATGGCCAAGAGTTTGAAATTTATGAGCCGGATGGTGCAACGTGGTATGTTTTCATGGTCAATCTATCTACAATGGAAATGGACGGACCATTTTTCGTATATTCCCAAGCCTTAGAAAACAATCCCATATTGAAGCGCTCAATAGCCACGCGTTTGAATGTAAGTGAAGAACATCTACTTGTGGCAACTACTCAACGTCATAAGAAGGCTTTTGCTGCCTGCGATCTGTTACCTAATACTGAAACACAACAACATCTACAGAAATTAGCTCGTTCACGGTTCAAGGATATCACATATTTATTTTTGAATGTACCCAGTACGGATGCGACGAACTTAGAGATAATTGATATACCGTATGACGGTATATCAGCAAGGCAAGATCAGCTAACCCCAGCTGGAGATGCGGTGCCTGATGGATCCAGTGCTTGTACCGAAATCTACGACTCACGTGCATCCGGAGACTCAGCACAACCCGCTAACTTTTCACATAATCTTGATAACCTTGGTGGCAATATCCTTACCACGCCGGCCTTAAAGTTCGCTGTTGGGCATGAATCCAATTCTGAGGATAGTAGTTTAAGCGATGGCGATCGTACTCTAGTTGAAAACTTACAAAATCGGGGAGGTGGCGACAGCCAAATTTCTAGCACTAGTCATTCGCCTCAATTATCAAGTCCCGAAGATGAGAATCGCCAGGATTCTATCAACCGCGTCAATGCCTTCTACAGTGCCTGCTATGAATTAAGCCAAAGCGAACCAGTCGTTGATCCACAGGCGACACAATTCTTTCACGCGATCAAACTTGACGTTATGGACACAGCCACTCTTCTCTCCAATAGACACCATAATCCATATAGTGACCTGGACTCGGGCGAAGATGTTGCTCGTAAACCAATGCGTTCATATAAAATCCTTGTTGATTCCCACATGAAATTAAGTGTTCTTAAGAGACATATAGAGCGCCTTATCAACGTCCCGCAAAAATATTTTCAAATTCATCATAAACATGACAAGAAACTCCTCAGCATGTCTCAGTCGCTGGTTTACTTTAGCGAGGGTGAAGTATTGAGCGTAGAGTTGGGCAAAGAGCTTTTGCCAGAGGAGCATCGAGCAAAAATTTATTTTATGCGCTTGTCGGAATTTAACAACGATACGGCACGAGTCGCCTTTATCTGCGAATGGATTTATACGGACGCTACGCCAGTCATAGTAGCTAAGAAAGCATTAATAGCCAAACTGCAACGCATTGACGGCGTTAAATATAAAACGCTCACATTAGACAATTGTCGGTTATGGCTTAAGGGTGGTCGCAGCCCTATTAGAATATACGCCGATAATGAAACTATGGGCAGCGATGTGCTTTCATCAGCTTCAATGGAGGTAGCAATAACAATATTGTTTGATTTTTTTATATATATATATATGAAAAATAAGTTTTCTTTTGCTTAAGTTCATTATACAAGAATGTGAAGACGGAGTTTCACCAAACATTGGGGAGGATGGTTTAGTCATATTTGTGCGTCGTTGGTATCCCGATACATTGGAATTGGGGCGATTCCAAGAGATTGCTTTGGAAAGTGAGTAATTTTCCTAGTACCGTAGTACAAATTTTATCAAATCTTTATACGTCATTTCTTGCAGAGCACAGCGAAATACAGAATGCTTTATCAAAATTGTCTGGCATACCAGAAGAAAATATTGCCTATACCAAGGTAAGTAGAGACATATTTATCGCTTCCATTGCGATATAAAATCTTTATTATACTTAGGTAAATGGCTACTTCCCGAATACTAATGTTTCCCTTTTGAGTATAAATAATGCTATGAGCTGGATCTCAATGCCCGCCACGGTCGACAAGTATCCATTAATTAGCACGGTCACCGGAAATATGTACTTTTACAAGTAGGTTAACACGCGGTAAGCTTTGCAGAAAAAATACAAATTTAAGAGGACCTTTTCTACTAATTTTAGGGATGTAACAACAACTGCCAAGGAACTAACAAACGAAGAACGTAGAGAATGGAGTGCTAAAGAAAAATCCCGTCTTGATCGTCTGGGATGTATATCCACATCTAGATTTTCTCCTCGGCGTGAACGGGCACTCAAAATTTACTTAGACCCTCCTGCTGCTGGCACCAATAGCACAACGGTCATGCCACCGCCAGATGCCAACACCACAATGATTGACGATCTATCTTAAATTAGCAAAGGACGGATTTTAAAAAAAAATGCGTTATTTCACTTCGCTTTTGTAGGAATACTAACATAACACGATATGATTGATAATAACAGCAATATCAAAATTAGAAAAAGTGTTACTTTATGTTGCTTTCTTTATAAACCGAACTCCAAAAAAAAAAAACAAAAACAAATTAACTTACTGTTCGAACAAAGTAAAATAGACAACAAATTAAATTGGAATTTGTTTACAATACAGACAAGCGCTGAACCGTTAAGGATGCTTTCAAACATTCGTACACTCGTACGAATATCTAGTTAGAAGCGCACACCGTTAGCATTATTCATTTCTGTTCACATTATTAAGCTTTGGGCAGATTAACCTCTTAAGCGATTTGCCGCCCCCTCCCCCTTAAAATCCTAGTTCTAAAGAATGAAAGATAAAAACAACCGCGGATATTCATATTTAAACTATGATACAAATTAGTATAGCTTACCCCGTAGACACATACGTACATAAAACGACGAAATCTTTTTTTCCATCATAGATATAATGAACCTATGTTTCCATCGCCAACTCCCTTCGTATATTTCTACTCTAACAACGTTCCGAAAATAAGCTATCTATATATGTATGTATGCACTTTCAATGCAATGTCAACAGCAGATATAGATTTTATAAACACATCTATTACATACAAATACACTATTTTCTTCTATTTTGAATGAGAGAGACTGTTTATTAAATATTACAATAAAAAGAAAAAAAACTGAAACAAAACGACGTCAATCATCTTCTTCTTTTTTTTTTTTTTTTTTTCATATTCAAAGTTTATCTTTTGATTTTAAAATTGAATAAAAACAAAATAATGAAAAGAGCATTTCATGCTTCAAATTTTGCGATGATCATCTACAAAGAAAGTTACGAGCCCGAACATATATCATGCATTACAAAATCTTTCCTCTTGCAGCGTTCGACTAATCCACCAAAAAACCAAACAAATAAAATACACGAAACAACTGCGTTTGGAAGTCTTTATCTAAATAAAAAAAAAAAAAAATAAAAAATAAAAATCCTGTCATTTGTACGCTAAATAACAAAATGAAGTTCGTACAAGGCAACGTTTAGAAGAATTTTTCGAATCAAAGCTAAACGCAAACAGTCTTAAGTAGAGATGATAGATATAAGGGATACATTTTTAAAATCAATCAATTTAATAATAATTGCTAATGTTGCAGAGAGCAGTTTGTTTAAAATGTTTCTCTATTGATTTTATGAGTAATGATGATGGTAGAAGGGAATCACTTCGGCTGGGAAGGAACACTGTTGTTTTGAGAATTGTTCTTGACGAGTTGCTGTTATATTAATTGGTAAGGACTTCCAATAGAGAGAAGGGGAGAAAGTTATGCGGTGTACAATACAAGAAGTGTTTCATTCACAATACATTCATGTTCGTTTTTCAGTTTCTTTTTACATTATTGCTTCATCTGTAAATTTGTTATTTTCGCTGATATTTAATAAAACCTTATAGGGGGCAGGCAGTAGATATTTTCAAGCCTTGGTCTCCACGGGAGCCGGTGAGGCATCCACTTTTGTTGCGTTGACAGCGTCTGAACCGGTTGCGGAGGCAGCCTTCTTCTTAGCGTGACCTTTAACTTTCTTGGGGGGCTGTAGTGGGGTGGCGACTAATTCCTAATAACCGAAAAAAATTACACATTAGAGTCAGTAGGTTATAAATATACTTCACTTTTTTTACCTACCTTCAGTTCTGACTGAACTATGCTGAATTCACTTTCAAATTTTTCAATTTCAAAAGGCAGACCTGTGACTAAATTGACGCCATTTGGCATTAGCAAAACAGTGTGCTTGAATTGAGCCACATATTCACCTAAAAATTGATAATAAATAATGTTCAGTATAATGAAAAGTGCGAAATATTGAGAGATGATAAAATTCACATATCCTTCTCGCGACCGATCTATAAGTCCTAGAGTCAAAAAGGCAGCGTTTTTCTATTCCGAGTTCATATGAAATTCCTAACTAAACTTCTTTGTTAAATTTGGCCATTTATCAAAGCAAAAGTTTAGAATCGGGCGTACCTATTTTCTTAAAGAAATACTTACCTTCTTTAGGCTAATGATTATATAATGATCTATTAATTATAGAATAATTGTGAGAATAATTTATAGCGAATTTCCGATCGAGATCTGTAGTCTGACTGAGCGAAAAGATTTTTCAAATCTTTCTATTTTTCCTCAAATTTACTCCAATTCTATAATTACTATAAAAGTCGTTACCGTGGCTGATTTTAAATTCTTTTCATTCAAATCCTATCCGCCGTGATTTGGCCGATCCCATTCGCTCGGATGAAAACGGAATCAAAACATTAATACTTGAGCAATATTGCGTAGCGTACTATTTAAAAAGACTTTTGCTAACTGTAAGAGATCCTACGAAACGAATTATTTGATATCTACAATGCTTTAGAGCATCTACCGGGTAGAAAATGTATTGTATTGTTTCTAATCGCATTTTTTACGAAACAGTTTTTGAAAAATTACTCAATTTGCGATGCAAATTTTTGTATATCGACAAAAGGATATATGAATTTTTCAGAAATTTGAATTTGCTAACATTATTAAGATATATATGCCTGCTCAATATCTATGATTACATATTAGATTATGTCTAACGCAAATATTAATGAATTAATGAAATGCTCGCGTTATAGTTCGAAATGTAAGCATTTAAATCGTGTCGGAAATACATTAAGTCTCATAAATATAATATGATATGTCCGCTAATTCAATTGTTATAATTATCTAACCAAGGCCCCTACTTCAAATTATTTTGTTGGGAAAATTTTTGCACAATAAAATAATTTTGCGAATATACTTGTTGATCGTGGAAATCGAAAGATTGAGATAACATAGCTATTAACATTGCCGTATATTTATGAATGGACATTTTTGATCTTTCCTCGACTGTCCATTCTTTACTCATTAGTTAATAATGTGAGTTATAAAATTATTTCATGGAACTCAAATTTCATGAATTCGAAAATGTTTTCATTACTCTAATAAATTTAGTCTAGCAAGGTGTCTGGTCGTAAAGACGTATAATCAAATTCAATACGAAATTAAGCCTTGCTATAGAAAGATTTATCTGAAAGTTTCACTTACTTGGTTTCTCGTGAAGTACTTGAAATGGTTCAATGACTTTGTGGGATACACACTCTACAACACCCATGCGAGCCTTTGTTTCCTCCTCAAAATTGCGAATATTGAACGGCATATTACCATATTTTGTTTTTACCTGCTCAATATAAACGGGAAAGCGAAAGAAAAGAGAAACCAAATTACGAGCGTTAATAGTAGATCTTGTAAAATTTATCAAAGAAAGTTTGAGAAAGTTAATACATCGACCGACATCTCAGATCTCATAATCTTACAATCTTCGGGTTTTAACCAAAATCGCAGCGAAAGTATGCCAATTATGTCATTCTATAGACATAAAGGAAGCGATCTAAAATCACTATACTTTCACGCTTTTTCAGTTTCAATCCCTCAAGCGCGTTGTCTTAATCATGGACATTGGCCGATTGTTTTATTAATTATGCATTTTTTACTTTAATAACATACCTCGGCCAATAAAGCACGGGCGGCTTTCAATTTTAACATGTAATTCTCATCGGTTTTCTTGTAAATGGACACCTTGGTATCTTTTTCTCGGCCAACACCTTCACCGGTACTTACAATCACATCAATAGCGTAGACTTCATGTGTCTCGAAGGTGCATTTTTCATGTTCCTTACGTTGTGCCTCGTTGGGATTTTGAATTATCGTTTTCTCACCGTCAATTTTAAACTGTTTTAATTCATGGCTCAACATACCCTCAATAGGTTTGCATTTATACGACTCACTAATTTGTTGCACTGCATCCGTTATGGTATAATTCTAAAAATAAATTTTAGATGGGCAATCAGAAACTGGCGCTCACCATCATACTAATATTGCAAACAAGGTCATAATTTATTGGCTTTCCGATAGTTCTTCATGATATTTGGTAGTCAAGACTTTATTTTAAGTTATTAATCTATAGTACTGGTTTGCGGATTATATCGAAACATTAGTTTAACTATGAATAATATTGTATTCAGCTCACTTAAGGAATTTCTTTTATATTTCTGAAACTCCATTAAATAAACTGCTGCTTTAATTTTTGCAAGTGTTGAGATGTTTTTGATAACAGATGCATCGAAAACAATCCGTTTCTTGCACAGCGACAAATAATGAAAGAGCACTTTGTCAATCTAACTACTACTTACACTGTTTCCAGCTTTTAGTAACCTTAAGGCAGCTTGTACAGCCCAGAAAGCGGCAAGGGTCACGTCGGCTTTACGACCAGTTACTTTGTTATCAGCGGATGCACCGACAATCACCGTATGAGCTGCAACAGCAATAAATCCATCAATATGAGCTCCCATATCTCTGTAATTATTCAAAATAAAATACTTAGCTATATAAATAATTATAGTTGACACACAAACGAACACGCACGTATAAATCTACGTACATTTTAACGACGTCGCCGTCTTTTAATGTATTATCAGGATCATTTTTAGCCGGAGAGAAATGGCAAACGCAATTATTTATAGACAAGCATGTCGGAAATGCAATACCTTTCTTAAGATCTTTTTCCTTTTTATAGACCTGCAACCCAATGCAATCGATATAAATAAATGCAAAATAAAAAACTATACAAAAGCACGTACCTTGCTTGTCTCTTTAGTGATGAGGGCATCGCCTTTTGTACATATATCGCGCACAGAGCCTCCAGCAACGCAGAGATCAATAACAGATTTCAATGTTCCTAATAAGAGGCAAATGTTGAGATAAATATTAAAATACATGTATATATATAGATATATATATATATATATGTATATATACATATATATAGATATATATATATATATATATATATATATATATATATATATATATATACTCTTAATGATATAAGCCAACCAAATAGCAGAATGGCTTTGTTTTTAATTGCGTGGCATTATTTTCAACACATACGCATGTACCTAGGCATTCATATGCAAGCATATTTTCCCACTCAAAAACACCGGCAGTTAAATAGGTATCTAGTGGACAGATTTATTATACGACTTATACATGTCTTCGATTTAACCTGTGCGAAGTTTTGAATTTTATATTTATATCCTATTTTTTATAATGACACAAAATATATCAAATATATCAAACACACATGAAATTTAGGTTATGTTCGTGCGGCCATGTTAAACAACGGCAGAAACGTGGCTTTTCAATCGATTGGATATTGCAGTCTGGTTGCTTCATATGCCAAGCAATGAATGTTTTTTTTTTTTTCATAATAACATAGATTTTCTACTTACTGTTAACAATTTCACCCGCTAATTTGTATTTGGTCACAACCAAATCTTCAGCAATTGTTTTTTCCTCTTTTTCAAAGTCAGCCATTTTTATAACACAACTCGTTTTTAGAAATCAGATCTGAATATAATTTAGTATTGGTTAGGTTTTATATTCCTTATTGTTTCAAACGCGCGTGTATATATATATATATATACGTATATATATATATGTGTGTGCGTATGTTAATACATGAAAACTTGCACTTTACAATAATGTATTGTAATTAAATTAACTGTCTTCATGGGATTATACAAAATAAGTTTAGTTTCCTGATTGTTTCCCCACAAAGCCACTCTCCAAAGTTATTAATATTTTATATCTCTTAAGAGAGAAAATTAAATAATTCGAACGTGCCAAAAAGAAAACTACTCCATTCAAAGCAAATACAGAAATAATTATAAAAAAGAATAACGATTATTTTAGTACCCGAACCAAATAAAAAATAAACGATTCTTCACTCTCTGCATCATTACGAAGACAGAGATGTTATACGCGTATTGCTCTCAATATCAAGAAAAATTCTCGACGTGTTGTTATTAAATAGTAAGCCGAATAGAAAGGAAACTGGAATAAGCAAATTGAGAAAGTATTAATATTCCATTTATTTTATGTCAAATTGTCACATTCTTTTCCTATAGAAAAGTAAGAACACTAAGGCATAAGGTATGTCGTAGAGACCTCCTTCAGACTCACAATTCAATACCGGCAATGCAAGTTTAAAACATCTATGTAATATAATAGAGTCCAAAACATGAGATTTATCGTCAAATACCGACATTATTAATTATTTTTCCAGACATATTTATCCATGAAAATTTAGTAACAACATTATCTAAAAACTTTAAAAATAATAACGGCAGACCTCACACTCTAAGTACTATTCAAATACTAATAAGTGAAAAGGCTCAGTTAACAAGCAAGTTAAATAAATATCGGAAAATCCCTAAAGAAATAGATTTAGAGTTAGAAGGGTTAAAAGTGCACTATGCAGCTCCAATGTAAACAAATGCTTGCAAAAGATATAAAACATTTCAAAAGAAAAACACACAATTCGAACAACAGCTGTTCCAAAATACCCAGAATGTTGAATTACAATAAAAATGGCAAATTATACACTTCGAACGAATTGAAGGCACAATTGTAGCAATTGGATATCAAAGACAAACGTTTAGAGGGCTTCAATAAAAATAATGGATACAGAGAGAATTACAGTGAATTGAAGTTGGCGGAATTTCGTACACGTCAACTTTCAGATGAGAATAAAATCAACAAAAATGATCGAATAGAAATCTTGCCACAAACACAGTTTATGCATGAGTAATATTTCCTTAGAAATGGTGGCCATTTTGTTATTTCAATTAAAGCATGTCCTTCAGGCGAGTAGACAGTACGCCAACGTTCTGTTATTTTGTTCCGCTATAAATTCTGTTTGTCTTCTATCCCTTTATTTTGTTGCTGTTGTTGTTTCATCAAGCATGTCGAAGTTAACCGTTCTTAACCATTGTTATACGGGATTTATGTATGTACAGGATATATTGACGCTCAGATTACTTTTCCACATATTTTAATACAAAAAAATGAATGAATTATTATTAGAAAACAAAGGACAGTAGACATATCCATTTCTGTAACATATAATCGTTTTAGCGCTTCACGTCGTTTACAATATTCACGTGTTTCAAATTTACTCAGATTGAATATACAAAACAACATTGGGGATTATACTATATATTATCCGCCTTCGTTATTTTGTTTTTTTACAACAGGATTTTCGTAGCCAAGTTGGGTGTTTCGAAGGGGCGCAAAAAGATTTGTAGACTTGCATTTGCGCGTTAGCCCTGACTTTCAAATTGCAGTTCAGTTCGCATCGTCTTCGTCATTATCTGCATGATCACTTACAGTTTATCTGCATAATTTTTTTAACTTGCGGAGTGCAATTAGAGCTATTTGCAGACTCATTCCCGTTAAATTTGATAGAAGCTGAAATTTGAATCGAAATTTTAAAAAAATAAAAAATTGCTTAACATGAATACAAATCAATTCCTCATGCTTAGCACATTTTAACTCTCATATGGTGTGCTGCGATAGAGAAACTTCAAAGAACCATTTCTCTTATTAAGCTTGCAACTGCTGTTCCTCGATTCTTACGAAATTCAAAACCAATTATCAATGTGCCCGATGAGACGGTAATTTAAAATATAAGAGTGAAATCAGGAAACTAGCGTCAAACGAGCGAGACATAAATTTTGTGATAGGCGATGTCTTATAGATGGGAATTAGATTTTCCACAAATCGGTTGCGAAAGTATCGCTTAATACCCTGAAATGCCGAAGAGTTTTTATCACTCAAATGTACAAGTACAAATACTTTCAAGGAGTTCTATATTTATTCGATAATATAAAGCGTGAAAATGTATTATTATAATTGTTGCAAGAATTACTTCCTTAACATAGCGCTATCTTAATACTACTCGTGTCCAGTGTATTTCTAACTATACGAAGTTGAACTAACCTAAGGTGAGTTGTAGACAAATATCTACTACAACAATTTTTTCTCTCGAGAAGTTCCATATCTAAATTATCACAAAAAATTTCATTGAGAGATCATAAATCTTATTTTAGGAATTTAATCACCATATTCGGTAAGATTTAATTTTCGAGACCACTTTTTTAATTCCAACGCTGATGGAAAGAAACTAATCTCTTAAACGTATTTCTGAATATTACAAATAAAACGAACAAAATTAATACAACAATCCTTAACTTAATAAATGGTGATTAGAGGAAATTTCCAGACCTGGGATTTACCAATGCGCTTTAAGGCGCTTAGCAACATGTTCGACGATGGTCGCATGGTTAGCATGCAAGAGCATATTGCCATCAATGTCGCACCATTTAACATTCATTGCATCATCGCCGGCCGATAATTGGAGAGCACCTACTTTAGTTCCCATTTCGTCATGAAAATTGCAGGCAACTGTCTCAATCCAGGCATTATCGGTGTTGCGCGGATCGTCCACATAGCTCCTATACACTTCCGAACCGGTAGCAAAAAATTCTTCTATCATTGCTTGATTTCCTGCAATTAAAAGACTGGATGTTGTCATGCCTCAACCTGTTGTATCTATTTTGTAATCTGCCCACCACCTGAACTGTTTAAAGCCTCTTCCATGAACTCCCGTTTGAGTGTTGTAGTTATTTTCTCTCCTGGATCAACCATACCACCAGGAATAGCCCACATTCTGTTATCATGTCTTTGTATAGTTATCATTTGTAGTATATTCCTAAAAGAGAAGACGCATGAAAATATATCTATATAAATATGCTGTGCCTTTTCCAAACGATTTAAGTTACTTTTCACTGACGTTATGTTTGATAACAGAACCATTTTTGTCGCGTTTCCACCGTGTGACGATGGGATCAGCAGCATGATTGGGTCCCCACCGACCCAACAAACCACGACCGCGCAGCCCAGTGCGTCCTATAGGATTCAAAGGATAGCCAGAAGAGTCAATTTGGTATTTCCCCATATGGGACAGCCGATTAACATCACGATCTTGAAAATTCCATCGGGGTTTAAAAAGTGGCGCTCCTATATCAGGATCTGCCCAGGATTGTCCTCTAATGTGCGAAGCTGTATATATGGGAGGCATGTAATCATTATACGGCATTGTCCAAAAGACAAAATCATCTGGAACGGGAAATCGGAGAGTCTGCGTCCTTGGGTAGACATTGTTGCGACAAGTGACATGTCTAAAAATGCCTGGAATCAAAGTTAAAATTGCTGTGGACATATTGAATAATGCTTATCTAGTTTAATCTGGATTTTATCATGTCATTTCCTCACTTATAGAGTTGCATTCAAAAGACTAAATGTGAAAGGTGACAACGGGTAAGTATTTAGGCTACTCCAATTGCATTAATCGTGCTTTGTGCCAAACTTCGTGGTAAGAACATAGGTGGACTTCAATATTCTGTAACACTTTCCAGAAGAGGGATTGTAAAAGTTAGAAAATACGAGAAACACAACGATTGAAACGGCTGTAAAAACAAGTCATCTTCTTCGCGTTTTTAAGAGGTTAATATTAGGTACAAAACTTCTTCTTCTTTTCTGTTATTCAGCAAATTAACAACCAAAAATTCGCTGGGATGTAGATTCTTAACCTATTTTTATCATAAAGTAATAAGAACTCAATTTTTTTATCATAGAAATAATTCTATGGAACATAAAAATAAAAAGTATATAAAAACAAAAAATTAACTATCATATTTTGTATCGGTGCAATAAAATGGTAAAACAAGAGGTTCTTTCATGGGGTCGGGCTGACGAATTTAGAGGCGGGCATAGGCGGAGACAAAGAATTATGTGTATTTGGCGCATCAACTAAAACTTTTGCCATGAAGATGTTACTGTCCACAAATGGAGCACAGTCTTAAGTAGAGTCAAATTTTTGGGTTATTTTGTAATAGTTTTTCATACGTGTTTAGAAGCCCTCACGTGATAGATTGTGATGCTGAAAATGACATTCCGCGTAAGAAGCGATAGTAAGTGCATGTATTAATTTTTAAGGATGTATAGTTTTTTAAAATAAAATTTGTTCTTTTTAATAAGCTTCTGAAAACAGAAATTCAATTTTTTAGTTTTCACAAAAGCGGATTTATTTCTTATATTTTTTCTTTCAATTACAACAAGAAGTTACTTATCATCAGGAATACCAAATTTTCTATAGAACCGCTCCTTTATGTTGGCATTAAGGAACCATGCCGCCCGATGTGCATATATTGCTCATGTATATAATACCATGTTATTTACTTTTCTTTTTGACCAATATAGTCAGTAGAGTGATGCATTTTTATTATTTGTTGATCCTTTGCGGTTTACCGGTATAAGATGATGTAAGGAATAATTGATAAGGAAAATGCAAAAAAAAAAAAAAAGAATTAATTTAGCTATTTTTTATAAATTTAAATTTTTTTATTTTGGTTCAATTATTTATAAGTAAACAATTTTCTAAGAAATTTATACGATTTTCAATTTATAGCTATTTTCTGTTATAAACAACAAATAATTATACTAAATTAGAACACCAACACTAACGCAAAGCGTGAGTAATTTAGTTTACGCCTAATTTGACAGGTTTAGAGAACAGTTTGGCCACCTTAGGTGCGTACATATAGTAGAAACGGTCGAAAGTTGAAAATAAAACCTAGTTAACGCTATACATAATTAATATGCTTATCTGTAAATTAGATTCCAAATTATTTGTATTTATAAAATGACTGAAATAACGGTTTAGTGTATTTTTTAGAGTAGATAGTCTTAGTTGGTAGCGCTCATTCTACTTTACCGCTATCTAGTTGAGTTTATACAAATAAATAATAATAATTATTAATATTTTCTAAATAAACAAGGACGTTTTTGGGATATCACAATTGTGTAATACTTCTTACGGTATTTTACAACATTGAGTTTGAATCGGTGTAGTTCATATGTCGTAGATGTGTTAAGTGATTGCTCTTTTGAAAACAATAACAAAATTGTTTCGCCGTTCTGTGATTACATATATGTCAGCAAAATTAATGTGTCGCGAATGAAATTATTGTTTATCGTGCCATTTTGCAAACGTTTTATTAGCCATTCAGTAGCGGTAGGGTGCAGACGCAACTGGCAGCTGATTCTTCAATTTGTGTTTTGGTTACGTGTTGTGTCTATTCTTTTCATAGCTTTTTATAAAAGTTTTAGTAACTTGCAACGAGTTTAAGGGGAAAAAAAGAATAAAATTTTTAATGGGTGTTTTTGTGCTTTTAATTTAATAAAATTTACAAAGATAAATTGGGAAGAAAAGCTTTTCTATATATTTTTGGTTAACCTTTAGTTCTGACTGGCTAGCTGTGATTGCTTTTGGCAAAAAAAAAAATGTTCGACCCTTAATCTAAATGACTTTAAAATACATTACTCGAGCAAAGCAGTCCCGATTAGATTGAATATTTCTGATATATATAAGGATGTAACTTTGCAACTTATAAAAAATATGAAAGATTGAAGTGGAACACGGGGGGTCGATTTACGACTATTTGCTTCGAGTCTGCACTCTATTTTAATCAGTTTTTCCGATAGTGTTATTTCGTGAGTTTATATGAGTCGACTGAAAGGAAATAAGCAAAGCAATAATCCAAATAAATTATTTTTCATCTCTTCAGGGACGATTTTTTTATGGCACGAAAAAGTTAACTTTTTTAATACAATTTATTCATTTTGATCAAAGGCAATTCACGACCCAACAAATGGTGAGGAAAACTATAAAAAATCACACAAAAAAACATCCATATTTGGGACTACTGAACTGATTTCATTTTACATAAGTTTTCGTCCGACTTCTTGGAGCGTTTTCCACTTCCTTTTTTTTGGAGATAATGTTCTATACCGTCCAGTCTGATTTTGAGGCTACTTTTAGTGCAGCTTTTGGTTTCTTTAAGCGGTTGTTCACGTACAGTTACAAGTGTATCTCATCTCTTGACTCGTTCACTTGTTTTTATCGTTATGATATTGACGCTTTAAATCAATTGTTTTTATTGGCTGGAGTAACCCTTTCAACAGTCAAAAGTGCCATGAAATGACACTTCTGGGTAGGTCAACATTTTAAATGATGAAAAAATTTGTATCTGGAAAGACGAATTTAAATTTGTTCAGCTTGTTTGAAAGGTTTTTTTAAGGTATTGACGTGATGCGGGTGAATATCGTGGGAATTTTCCGGCTTGGGTGCATCAGCATCTCTTGTTTGACCATTTTCCCATAGCGGGTGTATGCTAAATTACAAAATTTAAAAAATTTAGTAAACATTGTTCTGGAAAGCCAAACTTGAAATTGTTCAGCTTCAGATTCTTTATATGTCCAAGCAAATATATTGCGTTTCCTAATTTGGACGAAGGAGGCTTCCAAGTCTAACCATTTCTTAATCTTAACTAATTAATAGTGGGTGTCCTTGCTAGTTATGTCAGTATTTATCTTCACACTTTCATATTCTATCGATACGTATTACTTCTTCTTCCCATCTTTGTTCATTATCATTAGATTCCCCTCCGGCATAAGAAGAACTCGTGTGAATTATTATCATGCCACCTCAGGAATGTGATAGTTTGAGAGAATATCGCCATAAAAGATAAACTTCGCAAGCTTTTGCAAATGTTTTTTACAAAAAGCTTAATATATATATATTTAATATTTTTTATAGCACACACGATGAATATATTCTTTGCCTTCAGATGCTTTATTGATGTGGATAGAGTGTGTACAAATAGTTTTCCGCTTTCGATGCGTTTGCAAAGGTTTCCGATAACATATCTAATAGTGGACGAATCCTTCAAAAACTATTTTCACAGCCACTTGGTATTCCGCTGTTTTTGTAATAGAGGCATCTCTTTATTTCTTCAAAACGTTTTAGAGACATTGTTTCAACAATAATAGGGCGTCCAAATGAAGCCTTTTTAGAAACATTTATGTTGAATGAGTCCTCTCCGCAAGAAATGGTGTATTGAAAGATTCCTTACATTATAAAAATATCGTTGGTAAATATTTGGATCGAATATGAGTATGGTGTTATTTTAATTTCATGGGTAGGTAAAAGAGGTGATAGATCTCCAGGAAATCAGCTATCCTTTCCAACGTACCAAAGTGTAGCACATCGTGGTTGCTTCATATTTTCGTCAACTGGGGTTTCATCGTGACTTCCCAAAGTGGGTCTTTCTTTCCGATGACGATACTGAACACTTTAAACGGAAACCCAATATTCTTCCCCAGTCCTAAGCGGTCTGTATTTTCGCCCACTTTCAGTTTCCATATCCGATAATAATTCCAAATTTTCTACGTCTGGATTGTCAATATTTTCGCTCCCTGTAACAATTTCGATCTCAACGAAATTTTCGCTTTTCCTTTTTCGTTTTCGTTGCAACCTGGCACATAAAATCGTAAAAATTTATGCATTTCGTTAACGAATATCCTCCTGAGTGGCCGAGTAGGCAATGAATCTTGATTAACAACCGAACGGTCGTGGGTTCCTATCTCAAGTGCTGTAAAGTTTTCAACAAAGCGGCCTGAGACGCTACTGTTTTAAAACTTTAGTCTTAGAATCTTTTCCTCTGGCTAAATTAAATGTAATAACAATGATAATAATTATAAATACAAACTTGTAAAAACAACCACGAACGATACCTGTACGCATATGTGTACGTTTGTAAATTCCTTATAAAATGAAAAGTAACCTCGACTCCTCTCTCAAAATTTCTACGAATTATTACAATTACGTCTACTTAAGGTATTTATTATTATTAAATATTACGGCTTTGTTTAAATAAGTCAACAACACTGACTGCCGAAAATTTACTTAACTTTTTTTTATATCTTTAAACATCAGAAATACTGATATCTGCGCAGCGAAACTCCCAAATTTTGTCTTCCCTTGTTGAGGGATTTTGTAGTGAATAAGTTAATGCAAATTTTTGCACTACGAAATTTATCATGGATGGTATTGTTCTCATAAAACGCGCACATGTTGTCACTTTGATCTTATCTTTGCAGAGAGCCCTTGAGTAATGAGGTTGCTAATAGTATTCAAACTGGTGCAGAGCTGAAAAATTTCGAAGGCAAATTTTTAAATTATAGCGGTTGCAATACGAAATGGACGTAGCAGAATATAATGAAAATAAACATGAGTGAGGTATTAGGGAACTAATTTTGGATAAGATTATGGAGAAAACGAACGATTGGTTTACCGCGGAAGATGACTGCAGCGAGAGTTGACCGTACTTGCTGGACTTTACGTTGAGAGTCTTGTTGCACGAAAATAAAAAACAATTCATCAATCATTTATGTAATTGTTTAATTCTAGAATATAAACAATACAATAATAAGTAAGAAAATTAAATTTGGTCGGCACCGAATCTTTTATACCCATCACCGTTTAGCCCAAAAAAAAGATAAAAGAAGTAAAAGAACAAAATTCTCTTGCTCTATAGTATGTAGTTGGCGTAGTTGAGGCGTATGGGCTTGTAGACATGTCCTTTGAAAAGTTTAGGTCAATTCCAAATTCTTTTGCAAGTTTTTAGGCGATATCTTTATTATAGCTAACGGGAGAATGTTTACCACAAATAACTATAAATTTGCGCAAATAGACAGATGAACAGACGAACAGGCGGACAGGTTTAGGTGCATTCGAAGGCTGTAACTGGCCAAGAATTTGTGCTATAAAGATATCGGAAAAAATAATTAAATTTTTATACACTACAATATTGGGTAGGCGTGGTCAATTTTTGTGCACAGATGCTAAAGCATCGCTCGTAGAATGCGCCATCAAATTTTTCTACATTTATTTGCTACAGTTTATGAGTAATGAGCGAAAAACCAATTTTTCATTCCCTTTGAAAGACAACGGTGGTCTCAGGTTATGTGGTGTTGTGTGCATGTCCTTCGACCGATTTGACTCGTTTTCAAATACCAATCTGAGTACAAGAAGTTCTAATTTATCTGCCAAAATTGATGTCGTTAGCTTCATTTTTGCGCCCACGAAAATGTTTACAACAAAACATTAAACAGATGGGCAGACGGACATGCTTTAATCGATTTAGAATTTGATGCTTTGTGGGTTCTCTGATGCTTCCTTGTGGGCGTTGCAAACGTTTTGACAAAATGAATATACACCCCATCCTTCCGCGATTAGTATGATGGTATAATATGAATAGACGCCGCGTAGAATAACTCATGTGTGATATGGAAAACTCGATAAAATATGTCAAATATATATGTGTGAGCAAATAAAGCTAATAAATATATAAATAAAATTAGTAAATAACACAAATATGAATATAACAAACTACAACATATTTTTGTTAATAATAAAAAATTTCTTCATATTTCCTGATACGAAAATTTTTATTGAAATTTATCAAAGCATTTGTCGAATATGAAATGTAGAATTCTTCAATTTTTCTCCTTTTTTTGTATATACACGCTTATAAGCATACCATAGCGCATATTCACACAAAACCACAGAAAAGTATATGTTTCTGTTTTGGAAACGTTTGAGAGAATGCGACGTCATATCAAGAAACCATTAACAGAATTTTGCTCATACAACTAATGGGAAGTCGTTATACAAACGACTACTAGTTAACAGCGTTACTGCTGTCATCGGTAACGTATACACAAAAAGTCCCAAAGAAGCTCCTTATCTTAATTTTGAACAAAATATTGGAAAATCTATGTATTTTGTTATCTCTGATAACACCCGTTTATTGCGATTACTTGCTCTTCTCAATGTTTTGGAATTTCTCTTATTCGTGAGATTAGATAGTGTATATATTCATTGACGGTATTAAATATATGCATTTCATAAAAATATTACGCTTTCAATGTTCTGCACCAATTTGATTGTCGACCTTGAAAAAAGCGTGTGTTTTGTTACCAACTGTGAACTCGCTATTCGACGTCGTCAACCATAAACTGACACTTGGTAACAAAGACGATCCACATGAACAGACGACTATTTCTTTTTTCTTCTATGTTTGGTTTCAAAGGAGGCAAGCTCCCTGCTAGGTAAATAGGCTACACGAACGAGAATTTTAGTGTCGCCTTCAGAAAATTCAATTAAATTGGACGCAAAAGCACCAGGTTCAGAAATTTTAAAAACAAGATTTAACTTAATACCCTCTGATGCAACAATGAATACGCCTCCACCGCGAGACCCACAGGGCCTTATAATTTGATAGTTCATGTGTGCAATCGCCAGCAGACCAGAGGAGTCATGGAGGTTAATTAAAGAGGTACTACCTGCAATGGGACCCGTATTGTGTTAATGAGAGAGATAGTTAGAAAAGTGTAAGTGTATGGTGGGGCATAAGGAGTAAGAAATAAGGTAACTATTAACTATCAAAAAGTTACAGTTCATTAACCAATAAACTTAGTTTACCCGTTAATGAAATCTTCAAACAATGTTTCTTCTGCCGATTCTTTCAAAAAATAATACAAAAAGAGAATAAACAATGACCTGACTAAAATGAGATTTAATTAAGTTCTTAAAAAAAAAGAGTAAGTAATTTTGGAATTACCTAAAAGAAAGGCCACACCTAGCTGCGATGAGATCGATTACATGATGATTAGAATGTCTCTGTTGGCAAAGTAGCAGATCCTTAAGACTTAAGTTAAGTCAAGGCACTCTGGTGTCAGACTAGATGAAAAGTGGGTTTCGAGATTTTGAGCTATCCGCTTCCCTCTCTGTTTTTGCCAGTTAATTAGACAAAGATTGCTAAAACCTATTCCGGATCCTTCGATTAAAATTTGCGTAGGGTATTTGGTAATATGAATGGTTTGGGTCGTCACGCTCTCTCTCCTTTAATAAAGACAGAAGGACTGCACAATAAATAAATAAAGTCAATTAGTTTTTTTATTATACGCGAATTGATAATTTCAGTTTGCTTACAATCCTAGGAGCTTACAAATGATCAATAAGCTGGACTTATCAATTAAACGAAATTTAAGTTCAATATAAAACAAGTCAAAGAATTATAGTGGGACAGGGCTTACTATTGCTTTGCTTAATATTGTTATGCATATAACGACTTTTCAAAATGAGATGCTGTATAAGAAATGGTTGAGAAAGTGGTCCGATTTGAAACATCTTCAATGGCGTTCATCCTTCGGCCAGAACTTGTTGGTGCACCGACGATTTCATCAAAATATCTTAAATAGTGGCGATTTGTAAGTTAATTAGAAGAAAAAAAGACAGACAGACGGACAAGCAAGCTTGAGTTAATTCAGAAAGTGATTCTGAATAGATTCGTATAGTAAAAAGGGGGTTTGTCTCAAGTGCTTCCTAGTGTTGCATACATTCGTATAACCGTAATATGCCTTTGTACTACAAGTTGTGTGGCGTGTGGTGTGGCGTATAAAAAAAATTTTCCTAATTAACATTAAAATGATTTTTCGGATTGAAGTAAATAAGTATGTGATGTAATCGTAAATTGAGTGCAATTAGAAAGAACTTTATATTTAGTTTGTCTGCATTCTCCTAAATGCGATTTGGAGATGAAAATCTCTTACAAACTTGTGCAAAAAGTTTGCATAGCACTTGCGGCTTTTATTTCGCTCTATAGCTCGCGTGCTTTTAAATTCGAAAAGGGAAAACGTTCTAATGTCGTATTGATAGTGTTCGACGATTTGCGACCTACACTAGGAAGGATGGGCGATCACTTAGCTTTTACACCCAATCTGGATGCTTTTATAAGTAGAAGCAATTATTTTACGCGCGCCTACAGTCAGGTAGAAAATAAACAAACACTGCAATTCCTATTCGATTTTATTCTCATTTGGCTATGTTGCAGCAAGCGCTTTGTGCTCCTAGTCGGAATTCCTTCCTCACAAGCCGGCGACCTGATACTTTACATCTTTACGACTTTCATAGTTATTGGCGTACGTTCGTTGGTAATTTCACCACTTTGCCGCAATATTTTAAAGAACATGGTTATCAGACTTACGCCATAGGCAAAGTCTTTCATCCTGGTGTTTCTTCCAATTATAACGATGATTATCCCTACAGTTGGTCAGCGTCATCGTATCATCCATCTTCTGAAATTTACATGAATACTCCGGTGTGTCCTGATGCACATGGGGTGCTAAAAAATAATCTCCTCTGTCCGGTTCATCTTCGCACGCAACCTTCTCAAACTTTGCCTGACATTCAGTCGACAGGCGAAGCCATTCGATTTATAAAATCATACCGCAATAGCACTGCTAATCCCTTTTTTCTAGCTCTAGGGTTTCATAAACCTCACATTAATTTCCGTTTTCCTGTTCATTATATGAAAAGGTTTCCGCTGGAAAATTTCTATAATTATACACCGGATACTGTTAGGCCCAACGCAATGCCTAAAGTGGCTTGGAATCCCTATAACGATATACGTTCGCGTGACGATTTCTGTAATTTGAATATTTCTTTTCCATACGGACCTATTCCGGCATTGCTCCGTGCACAAATTCGTCAGGCATACTATGCCAGTGTCAGCTATGTTGATGACTTGTTCGGTAAGTTCATCAAACACGTTGATTCAGAAAATACAATTATCGTGGTTACCAGCGATCACGGTTGGTCGTTGGGCGAACACGCGGAATGGGCAAAGTATAGTAATTTTGAAGTGGCCGTTCGTGTGCCATTAATTGTACAAAGTCCAGAATTTCGTGCGCCATATAATGTTGGCAAGTCCATTAAAAATATCATCGAACTAGTGGATTTATTCCCCTCACTGGCCGATTTAGCCCATTTGCCTAGGGTGCCAAAATGTATACGAAATGTCCCCATGTTTAAACAACTATTGTGCACAGAGGGTAAAAGTTTTTATAAATTATTACAAGGAAATGATACGAAAAAAGATTACATTGCCCTGAGCCAATATCCGCGTCCTGGGGTGCTACCCACGAAACATCCTAATAGCGATAAGCCAAAGTTGCGTAACATAAAAATTATGGGATATTCTCTGCGTACGAATTATTATCGTTACACAATATGGGTGCGATTTCACCCTAACAACTTTTCTCGCGGTAAGCCATTGTTGTTATTAGTATTTTTAATATGTTGATATGTTCGATCTTCTTCAGATTGGTCAACAGTATACGGTGAAGAGATGTACAGTCATCGGCATGATGTCGGCGAAGAAATTAATCTCGTTAATTTGCCGCAATTTAATAAAGTGCGAGGGCGATTAAAACATAAATTAATTGCTGCATTTACTAACTAATTCGTTCTATTTAAGCATCAAGAACTCAATATTCATTTAAATACACAATTTCCAAAATTGTTGACAATAAATTACGGCTTAAAGTCAATTGTAGTTATTAATCTGAAATTTGGATGATATTAACTAAATGGGCGTGATTCACCTATAAAAGTGCCAGCAAGTGCCAGGTAAGTATCTTTAATTACTACTTATGGCAACTGCAAAGCATAGGCGATCGGCAAACAGTCACACCCCGGGCCAAAATTGCAAAAAAAAAAAAAAACTTTATATAGTTGGTGTGAGATGATGGGGAGAGTATCGAAGAACCGTTTAAATATGAATAAAATCGCTTTTGTTTTTTACGGTGTAATTTGTTTACGCATTAATGTCGCTCATACGACCTGGTCTCCGCGAAGTTATACCTTTATTTAGAAAATAGGCTGGTGGTTGGGTATTTAAGATTCGTTCTAAAACGGATAAGAATTGTGTTGGTTTAGTTTTTTTTTTTTTTTTTCTTTTCGTTTTGAATTCAAGCATTTATAGTATAATAAAATACAATGAATGAACAAAATGTTCATTCATTCATTTACTATGCTTCATATCATTGTTCAGCGGCGGATCATTTTATTGGATTGTGATCTCATGTGATCTAAAACTAGTTTTGCTATGGTGTTGGCTTATTGCCAATTTTATCTTTTTTGTGGTTTGTGTTGTTTTCTTTATTGCTGTGTGTAGTGATTGGTTGTGGTGCGTGTGTGTACTGTACATATCTTTATAGCAATCGCACTGTATGGTGAGGTGAAAATTTTTTGCACGCAGACAATTAAATATTTAACACCCACACGATCTCAAGACACACAAGCCATTATATCCATTCTACATACTTGCTTACTTGTTGTTATTGGCTGGTTATTGTATTCGTTGTCGAGAGTAGATTTTAGAAAGCGTTATACCCCAGACCGCGTCACAAACATCTGCGATCGAATAAACGAACAGCCAACATACCAACCAATTACTTATATAAACATTAATATTTTTATAACTACCTGCGTACGTAAATATAATATATATGTAAATATACATATACAAGCCTACATTAGATTTAAAATTTTTTAAATTTAACGTTGGCTGATAATAAATACATATAAATGAAGCTATGTCTATATATTACAATATTTATACATTAAAAATTTACAAAAAATAGCTTAGGCAACAGAGTACTTGAAATGAAATTTGTAGCGCATAGACTGACTTACAGATTGGCAGGCTGATACCCCTAACGAAATTGGTCAGTAAGTAATTCCTCAAATATATAAGATAGCCGATCATATAACCTTGCGCTAGGATAATCTAGTTTTGTTTTAAATTTATTTCTTTTGTATATAAATTAGTGTATAAGCGTATCGATGCGTTCGTATATAATGCTTCAGAATTTTTCCTATCCATACAATGGCTTTATATAAAATTCTCCTATACAGTCAAATCTGTTTTTGTGCGGTATTTTTTTATGCGCTTTTTTTTTGTTCAATTCTTTTTGTGCGAATCTTTTTTTGTGCGATTCTTTTTGTGCGATTTTTTTTTTGTGCGGTATATGAATATCGACACATTGAATTTCGCCGAGAGGTTAGGTCAATCTGAACTGTGTTGGCATCACTTTTTTTGCTATCAGTGTGTATGTACACATTGCAACAGCCATTTTCATACCTATTGCATTAGCCTATTTCATTAGGCATGCTCAATGTTCTTATGCATATATTGCATCAGCCAATTTCAATACATACTGCGCCATCTAATAACTTTAGTTAATTGCTGACCTTTTAACCATTAAGACAGGATTAATTTTATAGTGAGATTAAAGGTAAATTAATTGTTTTCGCGCGTTTTGAACTACGACGAGCAGTACATATTGAATTATGTACATTTTGAAAATTTCTCCTTGTTTAAAATTAGAAATTAAAATTTTTTTAAATGTTTCAATGTGTAATTTAATTATTTATTTTGTTTGGAAAGCACTTTCTTGCTATTTCGTAAAGCTTTGACATATTTTCTAAGTGAGACTTTTTTATGCGGTCCCTCTTTACCGCATAAAAAAAATTTTCTTTAATATGCTGTGAAAAATTATTTCTTATAGCTATTTATGAAATTTTTGAATATTTTTTTTTTGTGCGGTTTTTTTCTGCGGTCCCTATCTACCGCTTAAAAACATGTTTGCCTGTATTCAAGAGATTTTCGCCCTTCTTGACGACTAAAGGAAGTACTTCTCCACAGGTATATCAAAAATCGTAAAACAAACAATAATAGAAGAAACAAGTTATGCTGTTTCCACCCATGGAAATATTATTATGCCCAATATCATAGGAATTTATGAAGTTTACTGTTCCGCTTGTAATACCCCGACACATCATTCAAAGATCATATAAAAAAGATGATACCAGTCGATTTACTTATGTTTCTACTCTCTCTCGTTTTGACTACATTCTGTTCACCACTGACGGAAGGGAGTAGATTATTTTAGTTTTCCCTTTTCCCAATGAGCAGAAAGAAATATCATAATCTTATAAAGTGTACTTATATATATTTTCACCTGGCATAAAATTTATAGTCAGTTCTATAATACTTATACAGCTTTCGTCTATAAAAGTATAACTGAAGTCTAAATCTGAAACCCTCAAACCCTCAAAATAGGCTAGGTCTAAAACTGAGATGAGCTGGTCGAATTGAAATTTAGACCAGATCTGTGACTTTTGGAAAGTATAAATATACGATGATCTTTTATTATTTATGATCAGCACAGATGACTTAGATGGTTTATTAAATTTAACAGATCTTACTGCATGAGAGTACACGTTGGAGTCGTATGTATATGGATCAATGCGAAAAATGGAATGGATCGGCTACGTCTTCTTAATTCTTTCTTTTTTATTCTTGCCACATTAAAGTTGTCTGCAGATTTCCCCTTTTATCAGCAAAAGTTTGATAACAAGGGCGTAGGATTACAGTTACGCAATCGGGAGGCTACCGCAGGTTAACAATTCTTTGATGCTTACTCAAGCCCTGAAGAGAGTGGTCAAAGAGCTTGACAAATCAACACAGACATAGTTTGACACAATCACATCAGCCAATAGGCCAGTACAACGAGTATTTATGTTCGCTAATGCATAAGTAAAATGGATCGATAAGTTTACAAATTACAAAATTGATAGCAATGGCATCATCTCCACACCCTTCACATTTAAGCTTAACCAATAAATTGTTTTCTAAAGTCTTGCCGACCTCTCATTCTAGCGGCCAAATGATCTCTAAATATTTTTTTTTTATTTCATGTAGTTGTTGATAGCGCACAACGGCAATGGGTGTATTCACAAGTACGCAAATATGTTTGATTATTTATTTCAATATTGACGTAACCAGCAACAATATATGCTGTGTATGTCACTTTTATATTGTTATATTAATTGAATTATATCAGCCTGCGCCGGAGGGTGCAGGGACTGCATCACGTCGTTCACAACTCATTCATGCAGAGCAGGCAGACATCAGCTAACCCTATCGAATGTTTATGTTGACTTTTTAGGCTCGTTCTTTTTCTTAGGAATTTTTGACTGCATGTCTATAAATGAATCACAAGGCAAAATAAGCATGTCTTTATATACGGCTTTCTTACAGCAGTCTGAACATTCGGACATGTATGGATCGTATAAGTAAGTCTACAATGACAGTGTATATCACTTATTTCATGCATCTGATTTTACTTGAGTTTACTTTTACTTTAACTTTGGTTATCATATTATATTGCAAAAGTCTAAGTACGTGAATAATTCTGTAATTAATTCGTTTGATGGTTGATGTTGTAATTGTTTATAAAGCCATCGCACCATTTATACATTTTTTTTTTTTTAATTCATTCCTTAAAAAGGAACGGGCAATTGCTAACATATACGTATAAGTAGTAGGTATATATGTTTATACATAATGTTGTATATGAACTTTGCAATGCATTCGGAATATTTTGAATATTTTCGATTTCAATCACATGTATGCACATGTATGGTATGTGTGATGATTTTAAACAAACATCTGCATGTACGGTAGATATGCAAAAGATTTGAAAGCAAATTAAGTTTAGAAATTACGAGAGAAGGGTTAACATTCATTGGCTGTCCGAGGAATGGTCACTACAGGAAGACGGCATGACAAGTACTTAGCTTTAAGCAAAGATTGAATCTCTCAAAAATTTAAAACCCTCAAAATCTAAATACAATCATCCTAGCAATACGATAGCAGGTTATATTTAACTTGGGCTCGATTATTCAAAATATATTGACGATTGCCCTACATGCATGATTTGTGATTCCATGAAGCAAAGATTCGTAAATTCGATGTACGTCACAGTTCATAATCCATTTCGTGTTCCAAATCATATTCTTATACAATAGAGGGAAATTCAGATTTACTGATGCTCTCAATCAGTGCATATATATATTTTTTTCTTTTATTATTATTTTTTTTTTTTTGTTTCACGAACTATGAGTGGCAATGTGTAAATGAACCTATCATATTTTTCATCGTATTTCCTAGTGAAGGCAATGACATAAGTTCCTATCATGCTATGAAATATGTAAATTTTAGACCCACTTTTCCATCCATCTGTCCGTTGAATGCTTGTATTCGAAATGTCCAGAATTACAAGAATAAAGATAGGAAATTTTAATGCGACCCGTGTGTTCATCTATTTTAAGTAGACAGACTGGATGCGCTTGAAAGAATGAAACCATGTTATCAACAATTTACGGGCTATAGCAGCTGGTAATACGAAATTTTATCAGAATATTTGGTTTGATGAAATTTAAAGTGGATTGTAGTATATTAAGGGTTTCCATGTATTTTGATAGGCGACTTCCACAGGTAAAAATGATAAAGAAATGGGAAATATCAGTGTGCATAACGATTAAATTCGATGGATTTGACCTTCCTTGAGTTATTTAGCGTTTGAAGAAATCTGCTGCCGAAGCCCGGCAAACACATTCAGAAGCTTATGGTGATGCTGCTCCAATCCCCTCCAATTATCAATTTTGGCGTGAACGATTTATATGTCAGCGATAGAAAACGGCCTGCAGGACCAAAGAAGCTCGA